GAGTGTCTATGAATCAGAGGGTTTGATGCCCACTCGGTCAATTGTCAATAACTGCTGACCATTCTAGGGCTTCCCTTCCCGATCATCCCACACGGCGGGATACCAATCGATCTAGCCAATTCGTTGACAAACTCCCTGCTCAATCAGACAATCCCTTTTCAGCATCATGCTACAAGCATGCCCGCGCCGATATCTCAACCTCGATCCCGCAAGGAACCCCGAATGAGGAAGGTTACTCCTGGAACAATTCCCACGAGCTCGTCTTCGGGGCAAACCCATCAAGAGCAGCGAATTTGGTCTCATCAGTCGCACAATCCATCCAGAGGGGCCATCTCAGGCTCCGTGGCCGGGTCGCAGACAGAGAGTCCAAAGACGTTGGCTTGCACCGACTTTAACCAGCGAACTCCCTCGATGGGAAAGTTCGGGGCCAGCCTGGCCAACTTGACTGGACAAGAAAACATGCTGGAGGTGGCACCTGGCACAGGATCGTCTGACAAGGGTACCAAGCGAGGTCGCCACTTTACCCCAGGGTCAGCAAAGACGATTGACGAGGATGAACCTCGGCGCCCCAGCCCTTGTGTCCGGCTCACTCCATTCGCGGACGGTAGCCCAAAGACTCGACCAAGCTGTTAGAACGACTTGCAGGACTGATTATTTCGGATAAGAGTATGCTATTGATTTTGGACGGGTGCGGGTGATGTCAGACGGTGTACGAAGGTCGTTTTTGGCGTTGATTCGCGGTTGTACTGGTATGTTAGCAAGCACTCGGTCGCATAATGCAGGAGAGGCAAATTCGAATTGAGCATGGAGGAGCATAAACCAGTTGATTAAAATAAATTTTGTTTGTTTTTATGTTCTTCAAGGGTGATGGCCTTCAACGGAGGGCGTGGATGAGGTGAATTCCACAGTAGTAGCAAAACTGGTGACAAACGTCAAATAACCGCGAGGAAGCCCAATCGGAATGAACGGGCAATCCCACTATTAATCTATGCTCTAGGTACAGAGAATAACTAAAGATTAACCGCCACTTTCGTGTCAGATGCTGAGTTGTGATTCCACGGGTGAGACGGGCGTTTGACGGAGGACCGGCTTAGTCAGGGACTCAGCTCCGGCTCCGTCTGGCAAGCCTCCGCGCAGAAATGGGACGCAGGTCTCCCACGAAATTCCGGACTTGGCGGATTCTGAAGTGATGTCATTGATGACTGCCAAGAGTGCAAATAATGCGGATGATTTTTAGATATTCAAGGCGCAGTGGGGAGGAGACGGAGGGATTTCTGGATCAAAGATGGGCGGAAGCACAATCGAGGGCGAGCCTGTGGGATGCACCCACATAATTCTCCAGACTCACAGGGACTGATGAACGGATGAGTGTTACTAGTAAGCGACATTTGACAGGATATGCAATGGAGAGGAGATGTCTGTAGCACAATGCATTGTTGGTGTAACGGAGAATCCATTATGATGGTTCTCATGCATGTACTCACTCGGTGTCCGGGGCGCGAACGCGAGGTGCGAGGTGCGAGGTGCGATGTGCGATGTGCGAGGTGAGACGCCTTATTAGACATCTCCACCAACAAGCCTGATGATGCTCACGACTCTCGATGATCCGTCTATCACGGTCCATGATCGGTCGGGCAGCAGGCAACTAGAGTCGAGTGTCACCCACAGCGACTGTACTATTGAATGTGCCTGCGGTGCAATGATGGACCAGACGCATATCCAGCTCATCAGCGCATCCCGGCCCCCGGAGTCCGTCTCTCGCAGCCCACGGCAGGCTGGCCTTGGACAAGGGACGATTTGGCGATACACCAACCCATCGCTCGTCTAGTGATAAGCAGCGGCTCACCCTCCTTCACTGGGCAAGCCGAAGCTCTCGGTCTTGTGGAAAAGTCCGTCGGGGAGCCGCAAGAGACCGCTTCTCCATGCTCACAGCATAGATCCACCGTGCAGGAAGGCTTGGCGCTGGTTGGCAGTCATCACTCTAAACTGGCCGAGGCAGATGCTTATGTTTCCGTCTGCTGCGGCCACTTTAATGGCACTGCGGCGTGGAGTATGTGTGTGGGGGGAAGGAAGAGCCATCATCGTGCGGAGGGTGTGGTGTTGCTCGCGCACCCTTCCACCGGCGGAGGCAGGCCGGGGCTTCATGGAACCCACAACTTCGGCCTCGGAGGGCTGACCTCTTGTCGTTGTGTGTGTCTCTGAAATCGTAGTACAGAAGGACAGGAACCATGGCACGCTCAGACAATATAAGGTCTCGTCTCGGGTCCCCCAGTTGCCAATATCCTTGTGCCTCACCAAGTCTTCCAAGTCAAAGTCTCAGTGAGATAGATTCCTCTATCACTCTCCAGACAAGATGGCCTCTATAATGTCAGCCCCCGACTACTCCATGGCCGCGACGGGCAGGTCGCGCCTCAGCATCCGCTTGCCCAAGGACACGCTGCACTCCTCGTTGATGGAGTCCTCGCAGCACTTCAACTTCGACAACGAGACGGCCGCCTTGGCCCGCAACGCCAACGCCTGGCTCTCGTCGGACGAGGACCTCACCCGTCGCCCGCCGTCCATCGCCCCGAGCAACTTCAGCACTCGGTCCGTCGAGCGCGAGGAGTACCAGCCGCCGCCCAGGAACCCCAGAGACTTCCCCGTCTTCGGGTCGCTGCGGTACTCGCTCCGTTATGACGATGCGCGCCCGCGCACGGCGCCGCAGACGACCGAGAGCACGGAGAAGCTCACGCAGGTCATCCCCGACGACTCGGCCGCCAGTTCAAGAAACGGCGAGGATGACATCGAGTACCCCACCGGCATGAAGCTGGCTCTCATCACCCTGGCCCTCTGTCTGGCTGTGTTTGTCATGGCTCTTGGTTAGTTGTCCCCAACGTGTACTTGCCCTCTCACCACCACTGACACCGAGTGACAGACAACTCCATCATCGCCACGGCAATCCCCAAGATCACCGACGAGTTCCACAGCCTCAACGACGTGGGCTGGTACGGCTCGGCATACATGCTCACGGGAGCCTCTCTCCAGCTCTTCTTCGGCAAGTTCTACACCTTCTGGACCATCAAGTGGACCTTCCTCGCCACGGTCGGGATCTTCGAGGTGGGCAGTCTCATCTGCGGCATCGCCCAGGACAGCGTGACCCTCATCATCGGCCGCGCCATTGCCGGAGTGGGCTCCGCGGGCATCTTCGCGGGCGCCCTGACCATCCTCGCTTACACGGTGCCGCTGGAGAAGCGGCCGGTCTACACCGGCCTCGTCAGCGGCATGTGGGGAATCTCGTCGGTCGCGGGGCCGCTGCTGGGTGGCCTCCTCACCGACCAGGTCTCGTGGCGATGGTGCTTCTACATCAACCTGCCCATCGGTGTCATCACCATGGGCGTCATCGTCTTCTTCTTCCACGATCCCGAGCGGGACATCGAGCCGGCGACCTGGAAGGTCCGTGTGTGGCAGCTCGACCCCATCGGCACCGTCATCTTCATGCCCGCCGTCATCTGCCTGCTGCTCGCTCTGCAATGGGGCGGCGTCGACTATGAGTGGGACGACTCCAAGATCACGTCGCTGTTCATGCTGTCGTCGGTGCTGCTGCTGCTGTTCATCTACGTGCAATACAAGATGGGCGACAACGCCACGGTGCCGCGGCGCATCTTCACCAAGCGCTCCGTCTGGGCGTCGTGCTTCTTCGCCTTCAACACCGGCGCGTGCTTCCTCACCTCGGTGTACTTCCTGCCCATCTGGTTCCAGGCCGTCAAGGGCACCACGGCCATCGAGTCCGGCGTGCGCAACCTGCCCATGCTGCTGGGCGTGGTGCTGTTCTCCATGATCGCGGGCGCCATCGTCACCTGGTGGGGGTACTACACGCCCTTCATGATCGGCGGCGCCATCTTCATGGCCATCGGCTACGGACTGCTCTGCACCCTCAAGGGGGACACGCCGACCGCCGGCTGGATCGGCTACCAGCTGCTGGCCGGCATCGGCGTGGGCATCGGCATGCAGCAGCCGCTGGTCGCCGTGCAGGTGGTGTGCGACATGGCCGACATCCCGACGGGCACGGCCATGATCATCTTCGTGCAGACGCTGGGCGGCGCGCTGTGCGTGACGGCCGGCCAGACCATCTTCACCAACACGCTCATCGAGAAGGTCAAGGAGTACGTGCCGGACCTGGATCCCGCCATCGTCATCGCCGCCGGTGCAACCAACATCCGCGACACCATCCGCGCCGAGTGGCTGCCGGATGTCATCCGCGCCTACAACGACGCCCTCAACGTGGCCTTCTTCGTCGGCGCCGCCACCGCGTCCGCGACCATCATTGGCGCCGTGCTGACTGAGTGGAAGAGCGTCAAAGGCCGCAACATCGAGATGGCCGCCGGTGGCTAAAACCAGCCAGCGGGGTCCTGACTGGCCGTATACTATTCCATCTTACCCTTTTTTTGCATGGGAGAAACCATTCATTACCGTATATTTCCGCATATAGACTCACTGTCGGCGTTACTCAGCGAGGGCACTTTCCTTTTTTTTCCTTTGTCGAGACAGAGGACGCGACCGCGTCGGGAGGGGGCGGGGAAAGCTCCGTGTGGGGACGGAGATGTAGGGTAGTGGGTGCGGAGATGGTCGGCGGTTGGCCGGAGGGGACTCGGAGACTGTCGGACAAGACGATAATTGCAATTATGAATTGAATAATGAGTTTTAACAATTCTTTTCGAGCTCAGTGACGTGTACTGTGGTTTTGGCCCAATCGGGATTCGTAGTGAAACCTGAGATGTGTTTATTAAATCTGGGGAATAACCCGGCACTATTGTAGCAGAATTTGGCTAAACGGCAGCCTACAACTCACACCCGATCTTTCAGAACTTGTCAGAGGTAAATTCTACAAAACTAGAATAAAACGGTTTCTAGCATGTTAACCAGAAACGTCCGCTCAGGAAGCACAATTCAAAGTATGGTATAGGAAGTCTGCCGCAAGACTAGGGTACTTAACCATTATTTTGAATCCGATCAGTCATCGAGCCCTTATAGCTTAGGGGTAGAGCGTTGCACTTGTATTTACCGTCTGAGGCATGCAAAGGTCGGCGGTTCAAATCCGCCTGGGGGCATTCATTTTTGATGTTTCTCTCTATTTGATGAATAGATAATTTCTTTTTTGGTATTTATTTGATGTTGGATCGTGGGGTTTTGGGTGTCCTCGTGAACTTGCAGTCGGGAGGCGGCTGGCCGCGGCTGGCTACCGCGTGGCATCCTGCATAATGGTGACATTTCTCTCCTAAGCTGGTGCGACAAAGACTTGAGCGAAGTTGACCGACCGTGAGCGCATTTCCTTGGACGTCCTTGCAGTCTTCTCTCGGTCTTGTTCCCTCTTCTCTCTCTTCACACCTGGTCAAAATGCTACATGCATGGACTACCAACGCGACGACTTGGACTCAACAAGCGTCGCAAAACAACATACGAAATCCAAGCCCACCAACATCGACTGAGTCATGGACCTGTGATGCGGCGAGACTGGTACTTGGAAATGACGCCGACATCCATGTTTCCTGCGTGAAGGCTACTTACGCTCGGACTGTGGCAGTTACTAAATTCCCTAGCCGGACGGACAACAGCATCTTGTGTAGCCAGAACACTTTGCAAGGCCGATAGGCGATAATTGGTCTTTGGAGATAGCGGTGAAATGAGGGATATGGATACTTGCCTCGATTGTTTGACGTATACTGGCTAAGTTACTGTACAAGGCGTGCGCAAATGGACTTGAACCATGGCCGAATCATCGCCGTCGTTCACGGGACGTTTAGTGCCATCTCGGCATGCGCTCGTTTTCATTGTGCTGCAACTAACGGAAGGCTTAAACTGGTCAGCATTTGATCAGTAGATGCTAAATGCCGTTTAGGCCAAAGCCGATGAGCGCAGTATCTTGCACCCCACACAGCACTTTTGAGCCTTCTGATCGAGTCGGGACGAGTCCAACAGCATCAATCTTGTGGTGCATAGTGCTTGTTAGTGTCGCTTGTTTTCATCAATCGGCTTCATGGTCTAGTGGTATGATTCGTGCTTTGGGAATTCAGCTCAACTGCACGAGGCCCCGGGTTCGAGCCCCGGTGGAGCCCATTCAATTCTCTTTTTGCTTTTTGCGCAATCCTCCGGTGACTGTTGGGTGTGTATTGGGGATTGGGATCAATTCCGAATAGCGTTGTTGGTGTTTTCGTCGTGTAACTCCAGTTGTGGCGAGGTGCTGATGTCTCCATGTTTTTGCCGCCCTGCCTCTTCCCGGGCCAACAAGACGGCTGGTTGTGGCTTGTCCTACGTCTTCCCTTACCCAACTCCGATTGCCTGCATCTCAACTGTGACACCATGGATGGTTTATTCCGGCGGTCAATGTCTTTCCAATGTAAATCCAAGAAGTATATATGATCATCTTCATTCAAGTCTGATCGATATGACTAACACGCACATCTCGCCGTTCTCCTGTGCATTGCCTCGTTGACCCAAACAAAGCACCGACTCTACTTGATGAGCGCCATGCCTCAAGATCATCGTAAGAAGTTTCGTCCACAGCAGTTGACCGTTTCTAACATTTCTCCTAGCCTATCTTCACCTCCCCGTCCCCGCCGACGCTCCGTTCGAGCTGAAGCCTTCCCCAATCAAGGGTTGGGGCGTCTTCGCGACCAGACGTATCGAACAAGGCGCTGCCATCTTCAAAGAGAAGCCGCTCTTTGTGATCCCAAAGCCGTTTGAGCTGATCACGGGATGGGATGTTCGGATGGCCTTCCAGAAGCTGCCACCTCGGTCCAAGCAGAACTTTCTTCGCCTCCGCAATCACGCGTCCGGACATGTCGCAAACATGGAGTCTGTCATGGGAGAAAACTCTTTCCAGGTCGCCTCGGAAGCCGACCTCGAGAAAGGTCTTCGACAGTACGGCATGTTCTTGATTCTCTCACGCATGAACCATTCGTGTGTGCCCAACGCAAAGCTTCCATTGACGACGACTGGACCCCAGGACTTCACGAGCTATGCGGTTAGAGACATAGCAGTTGGAGAGGAGATCACAATGTGCTACAAGTCGGACTTCGAAGGCAGACCGAGGGAAGAACGTCACCTGGCACTCCAGTTCGAGTGTCATTGCAAGGCTTGTCAATTGGGCACTCCTTACCAACGAATCAGCGACATCAGACGACGACTCATCCGAGCCATGCAGTACCTGAGACGTGGAAAGGACTTGGATGGACGGACGGATTACTCCCGATCGCCAGTCATCGCCGACCCAAAGCTCAAGCGCGACGCCGAGACCTTCAACATCCCCCTCACCTCTCGGCTAGTCTACGCGCTTTTTCGGATTTATCTGCTCGAGCAGGAGGGGCTGCTGGATCAACTCAAGCTCGACAGCCTCCTCCCCACCATCAGGATGATCGCAAAAAAGTTCAGGACTGAAGAAAACGCCAGAATCGCTCGGCTTGCGCTGGCCAAAGGAACGTGGCTGGAGTCCCTGTGTGCGGCTTTCGAGTTCTTTGGTAGACCGGACAAGGAGGACGCGAGGCTTGCTGCTTCTCTTCGGGCATTGCATAACATTTGACGCGTTGGTGGTGCTCGGGTTCGAGTCAGGCTGCGGACGAAATGAGGGAAATGTGCAGATGACACGTCTTGTACTGCTTGATGCCCAGTAACGCCCTATCTTAGGTAGTAAAATTGAGATACGAAGTATTCTGTGCTCCGTTTTTCTGGTCTTCCTCCATGCCTTCGATCTTCTGTGAGTGTTAGTCATACCGGAAAGAAGAGACCATCATCGTGACGAATCCAAAGGATTTGACTACCACAGAAACGATGCCAACTCGTAGCTTGCACGGCATGTTGGGCGGATATCTTACTGTAGTGACCGTATTTGGTCTCGAGGATGTGAAAGATGCTACTGAGACGCTACCAGCTACTGTTATAATCACGCTGAAAAAGTTGATGTCCAAGGCCAACGTTTGATAAGCTTGAGTTCGAAACAGATCTCCTAATACCTACTATGGCTTCATCCTTTTCTGCCCCGAGATCATTTTGTAGGGAACATGCCCAAATACAACCGCACCGTTGTCCACGAGGCCCCCTATTGTAACGTTCAAACAACTCTGAGGGACGTCAAGATGTAGATTCCGTCCCTTGGGAAGTAGTAGCTGGTGATGGGTCGCTGGATGTCCTCCCTGAGGCGCCAGACAATGACACTGGGAGAACAGCCCACAACGTGATGACCAGAGGATGCCCGCTGACAACTCATTTGGATCCAAGCTTTGGTCGTACATAGACCCGTGAATCCTTCTCAAAATTTCGATTGTTGTGCCCAAGTAATCCCTGTGCTTGGGCACAATCTTCCACCCTGCGCAGAGACGACCCGGTTCTTGGGCCTGAAGAAGCTCCCCAAAGTCCCTACCAAATATCGTAAGGGCCTTGACAGAACGGATGTAGTCGACCCATCCGTGTCCCCCGGTATGAAGATTGTAGGTTCTTTGCCGGACGGGGCCAGTTGTCTTGGCGACGTCCCAGAAATCAAAACCTGCGAGACTCTTCGTCAACACTTTCCGTGATGGGTTAAACCAGTAACCGTCCTTATCAGAAACCTGAGTTTGATAGTCGATGCAAACTTGGAGGTCATGTAAAATCTCCTGAACCCTATCACGGAAGCGATATACTGTCTCTATTAACTCTCCACTCTCATTCGGTATGATATCATCGACGTAGAGCAAGAGGTTGAGGTTGTTGAAGTTTCCAAGTACGCCGACAGCGGCAGTCCCGCCACCGCCTAGAGACGAATCTCCTTCGAGTTGAAGTGGACCGTTGACTTTCCACTTGGAAACAAAAGCTGGTTTAGTCCGATCTTTCTCGATTGAGGCTCGTGTGAGGTGCAACAATGCTGATGCGCCATCCACTAGCCACGCTCTTTGATCGCTGGTGTCAAAAAAGACAAGTGCCTGAGAGAACACCAAATCTAGAAGGGCCGAGTAGCTTTTCCGTTTCTGGAGGTAAACAGGCTTGTCTCTTCTGCTAAGAGAAACAGAAACCCCACCAATCAAGCTTGAGCCCCCTTCAAGATAAAGCTTGTCGATAACTATAGCCTTTGGGGGAGCTGGTAAGCTTGACTGGGCTATCGTAAAGCAAGTGTCTGGGTGACCTGAAAGGGTTGAAGAGGGCCTGTTAGCGTACTGAAGACGAGACTGATCCTGGATCCATTACCTGTGTATTCCTTGACATTACCGCACCACCCTACCACATGTCTGTGGTCCTCGAGATCTCTTAGACCGAGTCCTTGTAGAGAGTCTTCTGCCGTATCTTCCAGTCGAGAATCGCAGTATGAGATGCGTTCGCCGTCAGGATTGAATAGGAAGTGCCACATGATAGTGTCGATTGTAATAGTCGTGGCTGTGAGGAGAGAACAGAACCCTTTCAACAAAATCCTCTCTCCCAGCGCATAAAAATGCGATGACTGAACTAACTGCGACATAATTGGTAGAGATAATTCGAGGCCGGTATCTGAATGAGCTCGACGACGAATTGGATAACCCGAGACGAGAACGGGATTTCGAAACATGTTGGCCCAACATAAGCCTGGTGAGAGAGGGCCAGGAGGACTATCTTCACTCATGGGAAATTCGATGTGGCATTCTGTAGTTATCATACGCTCGTTTCGTTGGAAGCTGCGAGGATGGATCTCGAACGAGGAGAGTCGGGGCGAGCAAGTGGTAATACCCTCAGGGATATTTGATGGGCATAAAGCAGCACCCAACCATTTTAGTTGCTCGCCGATCTTAGCCACCAAGTCCAACAGTCCTGTCGCTTTTACGGTACAGGAAGCTGAACTTTGCGTTATTGCTAGCGTCGATTCGTCTGGCAAGTCACCTGCATGATGTTAGCTATATGCTGGAGGATCAAAGCCTTTGATTGTTAGACTTACAAATGGTTCCTTTCTCATGAGGATGCGAAAGAAATTTCTTCAAGAGAGCTCTGATGAACTGGTGTGTCAGGGGCCAGGTTTGTTCCAAGTATTCGCTAACTGTCACTGCCTGCGCTTGTTTCCAGGTTCCCGTGACACAGAGAACCTGGTCGACAATGGCTTCTTGTAGATACGCTTGGTCTCTCATAAGTTTGCGGAGGTCCCAATTCAGATGAAACTCAATGCAAATTACAGGTGCTGCCTCGTCAAGACTTTGTTCGTATGGTGGCGAATGGTTGCGGATTTCGGTCCGGATGAAGTCCCCAATGTCCGTCTTCAAGTTGTGACCCGGTACGTGAAGTTCCAAGTGGCTCTTTATAGCTGATTCAAGCTATCGGTAAGATTGAGATTTCCAAATAAAACTTTCAGGACCATCACGGATTGGGTTCTGGGGTTGTGATGCGCTAGTTTCCACTTGGAGGTCTTCAGGTACGCTGAGTGGATCTCGTCTCGTGAAGGCATCTTCGTTTGTACCTTTGTTGCCGGTGCTGGAAGTGAAGGGGTTCTTGGATGCTTGTAGTTTCAAGGCTTCAGCAACATCTCTACTGAAAATCAGCGACCAGAAAAGATGAATGAAGCCCAGTATCTCTGTACCTCCCATGATTATGAAGCACGAGTGAGATCTCCCGCTGACTTCTAGTTGACGATTCTCCATGAAGCCTGAGAGCAAAGCTTATCATCAAAGTCGGAAGTCCAACCTTAAAAAAAATCACCTGGAAGCTTGTGGAGGTGGAAGATTGACGCGTTGGAAAGATGATACGAGACACTATTGATGAGAGCTAATAGCAAATGGGGATGAAGGGAATCACTGAAACCAATAGCGGGGGGGTTTGCCGTCTTGTGCGTCGTCGATCGAAACTTCATGCCTGGCATCTGGGTTCAAGGTCATGAGAGCCATACTGTCAGTGGTTGTTCTGTCATTAACCTGTGTTGGTAACTTAACCACTGGCCAGATCCCGAACATGTGACTTGGCATTGTTAGTATCGCCAACTCGGAGGCGAAAGGCTTCTGTCCGAAGCGTTTATATTGGAAAACAAGTCCCTAGATAAAGTTAATGAGCGGTTCAATCAACAAGGACATATCCATACCACTTGTAGATGATCCACGCGATGGCCAATGCGAATCTGTACGCGGGCTGGTAA